TGGCTGGGTCATCCTCACATCTTCGTTGTCCTTGTCACTTCAGTAGAACAGTGTCCACTAGGACTTGTGATCACAGGACTCAGCACCAGGAGCTTCTACTGTCTCCTGGGGGCAGTGAGGGCTACATGTGGTCAGGCCAGCTGGACTGTCCTGAGTCTAACCCTTGGTCTCATCATTCATGTAATTATCTTTGCATGTTTGTTTATACAGCAGGTTATGCCTGCTCTTCTTGTGTACGAGTCTGACCTTAATGTCTTTGATTGTCTTCGTCTCTGACAGCTGCTGGAATCTTTCTCCCTTTCACTGTCCCCATTGTCCAGGGCAGCCCTTCACACAGGAGTCTCTGTGGTGACAAGAGACCAATTTGAAACTCATCCTGATCCTGCTGCCCTCTTTCTAGGAATTGGATGTCCTGTGGATGAGTGTCTTTATCTTTTCTCTAAACTTTAGAGAAAAGAAAATAGTCATCTTAGGTGTCCATTCTTTTCAGGTCACCAAGTCCTTTGCTCTCTTTCTATCCTTAGCTCCATAATTCTAGTGCTGGATTCATCCAAACTAAGACATTCATAAAGCAGAGACTAATGTAAATTCACAGTTGTTTATAAGATAGAACCCAGCAGCCAGTGATTATTGTCAAAGAAAATGGAAGTGAAACTGTGTGCTGTTGTGTGCAGGAGAGAGAGAGAGAGAGAGAGAGAGAGAGAGAGTGTGTGTGTGTGTGTGTGTGATGGGGGGATGCACTTGAGGGACAGATGAGAGCACAGTCCTTGTGAGAAGAGCCCTGTCAGGACTGATGTTAGTGTGAATGGATGCTGTTCTGTAGCTGCCACAATGCGGCATTTAGTCTGAGGAACATGAATAAGGATACAGGAAGAGGGAGCTGCTCCAAGCCACGCTGATCATTCATTCTACTGAGGTTTGTTGGATGCTGGCTGTATCACAAGCACTGGTTTGCATCTGGGAAACAACAGGGAGTTAGAAACGTAAAAATTGCCACCTGTGGAGCATGTTCCAGCAGAGAGGATCATAGGCTCCAGTCTACTGGTGGTGGTTATATGCCGTGGAGTCAGTTCTGATTCATAGCGACACTGTACAAGGATTTCCAAGGCTATAAAACTTTATTGGTGCAGAAAGCCTCCTCATTGTCCCGCAGAACCACTAGTAGTTTCAAACTGCTGACATTAAGCTCAGTAGCCAGACTCGTAACTACTATGCTACCAGAGCTCCTTAGTCTATTGCTATTTGCCATTGAGTCGGATCAAACTCATAGCGACCCTATACACAACGGAACGCAACACTCCCTGGTACTGCACCAACCTCACAATCATTGCTATGCTTGAGCCCATTGGGTCCACCACTGTGCAAGTCTATCTTGTTAGGGTCTTTCTCATTTTCTCTGACCCTTCACTTTGCCAAATAAAATATATCCTTCTCCAGAGATTGGTCCATCCTGAGAACATGTTTGAAGTATGAGAGAAGAAGTCTGGACATCCTGGCTTCCTAGGAGCACTCTGTACTTCTTCCAACATAGATCTGTTTGTTCTTTTGGCAGACCATGGTGCTTCCAGTATTGACACCATAACTCAGATGCATCCATTCTTCTATGGTCTTCTTTATTTACTGTCCAACTTTCACTTGCATATGAGGTTATTGAATATACCATGGCTTGGGTTAGGCGCACCTTAGTCCTCAAACTGACATATTTGCTCTTCAACACTTTAAAGAGGTCTTGTGCAGCAGATTTGCCCAATGCCAATATGTCATTTGATTTCTTGACTTCACAATGCTGTCCACAGCTTGTCACGATCCACACAATCAAAAGCCTTTGCATAGTCAACAAAGCACAAGTAAACATCTTTCTGGTATTCTCTGCTTTCAGCTAATCTATCTGATGTCAGCACTGATATCTGTTGTTCCACGTCCTGTTCTGAAACCAGCTCGAATCTCTGGAAGTTCTCTGGCAGTGTATGGTTGTAGCTATTCTGTATTACCTTGAGTAAACCTTTACTCACATGGGTTATCCATGATATTGTCCTATGATTTCCACATTCCGTTGGGTCTCCTCTCTTTAAAATGGGCACAAATACAGATATCTTCCTGTCAGTTGGCCAGGTAGTTGTCCTCCAATTTTCTTAGCATAGATGAATGAGTGTCCCAGTGCCACATCAATTTGTGCAAAGACTTCAATTTGTGTTCCATGTAAACCCGGGGGATTCATTTCCAGTTTGTTGCAACAAATTACTCCAAAATTTTTTACTTAAAAGTTACACTGATTTATTCTCCTACAGTTGTGGAGATCTGAAGTTTAAACTGCCCAGCAGGACTGCATTCTATCTGGCATCTCTGGGGCTGTCTGTGACTAGAACTCAGAGGTGAGAAACAAGCAATAGAGTAAGAAAGCAGTAGGCATTTAGGACTGTATTCTAGGTGTGTCCAGGCCTGTGATTGCTCAATGAAAATAGTGGGAAGTGATTGGATTCTGGAATATTTTAAGATGGATTTTACAAAATAGATTGAAATTGAAGTACAAGAAAGATGAGTCAGAAGACACTAAGTATTTGGACTGTGGGATACATACTTATGAAGTATGTATAAATACACCATAAATACAATCAGCGGGAACGGGAAGACTCTGGAAGGAGTGTATTGAGGAAGAGGCATCACAGGCATGCAGCTTAAGAAATGCTGAGTCTGAGATGGCTGTTAGAGCTACAAGTGAGGTTGTCAGGTTGGCATTTGGACGTACTAGTCTGAAGGTAGGTAGAAATGTTGATTAGAGAAATAGTTCTGGGAGATGACATCATGCAAATGAGACTTAAAAACCTTCAGAACTGATGAGGCCTTCATGGGAATCTGAAGAAGAAAAAGGACCAAAGGTTGACCCTGGACCCTCCAGTGATAAATGATCTCATCAGAGCACACACCAAAGCTCTGGCACCACATCTAGGCTCCTAGCTCAGTAATACTCAAGGGTTCTATGTGAAGAATCACCTGGAAATCTCAGGGAGACTCAGAAGGTATGAAGCCGAGATTGAGACTCTGTATTTATAACAGGTGCCGCTGTTGCTGCTAGGTTTCAGGTCACATGTTTAGTAGCACGAGTGTAGAGCAGGGATTCCCACACGGCTGGGCATCAGCTTCACTGGTAGACCTGGTACAGTAAGTTATTTCTGGGCTCTGGGCCCCATATTCTGAGATGAGTGATCTTATGAGAGGTCTAGGTGTGTTGTAACAAGTCCCACAAACACTCCTGGTGCTCGGTCAGATCTGGAACCACTGAGGTCACGATCAGAATAGCACCCAGAGTGGGGAGGGGTCTTAAAACCACATTTAAGTGTTGTTTCTCCCTAAGAAAGAAAAAGCAGGATATATGCTAGTTATGAGCTGTGGTGTTGAGAGATACATGCCATTTCTGCAGCATGTGGTGTACCAGGTGATGATCTGGGTAGTGAATGGCTCACAGCTCCACATACACAAACTGAATGCTCATCTCTGAACACTCAGTACAAGGATTTTGCCTTCATTTAGGGGTGCAAACAGCGGAATGCTAATTTTTATAATTAAAGTAAAAGGAGTTTTGCCTATGTGTAATGTTGTTATTGTTAAGTGCCTTTGAGTTGGCTCTGCCTCATAGTCACCCTGTATAGTGTTTCCAAGGAGTGGAGCCTCGACTCATTTTGGAGGAAGTCACAGAACTAGACTTGAAGCTTCACAGCAGGAACAGAGTCCACAATCCTCCCTCAGGTGGGTCCCCTATGGAAACCACAAGTCAGCAGCTGCTGGGACAGATGCCACTGCCCACACCTCTGGTACTACCGATGCTGGACATTGAGTCCTGTGACCAGGACCTTTCTCACTGCTTCTCTTGGCAAATGACATCACTCCTGTCACTCAGGTCACCCCTAACAAAGTGTATCCCACACAGTCCTCCCAGTTTCTGATGTCATCATGTCCTCAGTGTGACTCTGGCATGTGGGCATCTCAGTGGTGGAGACTCAGCCCCATGTCTATGTCCTACTGCATGAATATTTGGGAAAGTGCATTTTGCTTTTCACGTGTGTAATTCTCCTGTGGTAGGAAGAGAGGTCATATGCTGGGGGACAGAGAGTGGGGGTGGGGTTAAAGAAAGACAAATGTCAATTCCTACCATAGTGATCTGAGACTAGAACTTTATCTAGAATGTGGTAGGCACTTGGAATTGTATGGATGAACAAGTGACTAATAAACAGCATCTCTCCACTTACTCCTTGAGAGTCTGTTATGGGGCCCAGTTTGCCTCCTTCACTGAATACACACACATGGAGTGGCCTTGTGGGCTGGTGAAATGATGACCAGAAATGTGTTCCTACTGTCTTTGTCTCTCACAGGGTTAAAGGTCAGTTCTATAGACTTCAGAGACTCTGGGA